AAAATCTAAAATTAGTTAATAATAGATAATTAATTACCATAATCTGTTTATTTTGATTTACTTTTTTAAATGTTAGTTTACAACAAACTGAAACTTAAAATAAATTTAATTTTTTTTTTTAGTTAATAAAATGTTTTACAATTTAACTGTTTCATGTGATACGTAAGAAATTAAAATTATAGTCTTCATTGCAAATACTGTTGGTAGTTAAATGTCTTCAGCTCATTCAATGGTAAGGTCCTCTTTCAATTTAATATTTTGTTAATGTGCTTGACCCGCTTTATCTGAGCAAAAAATGCAACTTCATTTTTCTCGAAAATGGTACATAATAATAATAATAATAATATCTTTACTCCTCATCCTAACTACGAGAATTAGCCCAGAAGTCGGAGACTTGTGCGGGAGAGGAGGCGGCATATTATTATTAAGCAGGCAAACCTGGAAAACATCATTAATTAGGGGGTGGTCAAATGCCAACCGGTGTCAATCTCTCACATTCACCCAAGCCAACATTCTTCCACCCTATCATACCTGCACAGAGGGTGCCAATCCTCCGTACAAGCATAGCTAATCTACGGTCTACCGGCCGCGGGATTCGAAACCCGGGCAGATAGCACAATCGATTTAAGTACTTACGCCTTAAACCGTGCGGCTATCGACCGACTAAAGAAGAAATAAACATGTTCATTCTCAGCTATCTACCTGTAGTAATTTTATTGACAAATCTTTAAAAGATGACGTATTTTGTGTATTTACCTTGACATTCGCAAACCATGAGGTTCAGAAGTTCTAAAAAATGTGTTTGACCTTCAGGTGATCTTTAGAGATCACTGAAACCGGGTCAAACTATATTCATATAGGAACCCCAGATTCGTGACCAACGCCCCTGAAAACATAGACCTCTTAGTTTGGTCGGAGGACTTTTCAGATTTCATTTTGTAGTCACGTGTCATCGTTTTGTTAAATTTGTGCTTTTTAATCTTCATTTGCCATTTAAATAAATTTACTTTTGGATTTACTGAGATATACGCCTTTGGGCTACTTTCAAATGGTTGTATCTCGTTAGATGCTGACATTTGAAAGAAAGTTTGTATAAATTGTAAAACCAACTCTATAGCACAAATTAAAAAAAGTTTAATCATTAAAATGACCCAAAATCTCTTGTCTGTAACCGACAACTGCAGTAGAAAATCCGAAATTTTTAACAACAAAGGCAAACAAAAGAGCCTTTCAATATCCCAGTCTTTCATAAACTAATATCATTGAAATTTTAAGCTTTCAAAGTGTTAAAATTATCTAAACAAAATTAAAGAAAATGTTTTAAGAACCCGTAATTTTTTAAGAAAGCAAAATTGTACAAATGTAAGCTGATCTAGAGCAGATTATTTCCATCCAAAATACCATTGATTATGGTATTGATTTGATGTATTCCGGAAATATCACATGTAAATATCAAATTACGTTGGGAACCATTTGAGTTGCATTAGTAAACGTACATTTTGTTTGCTTTTATTTTTCATAAACTTGTTATACATTTACCAATTCGTAACTCAATAAATTGATAAAGAAATTGTCAATTCTTTCTAATTTATTGAATAATTTTCGGAATTTTTATTCAGTAGCACTAGTATTAGATACATTCAAACATTTTGGTTACCTTCTACACCTTTGGCAGTTCTTTTTATTTAAATCGCAGATTTTTATTCATATTAAGAGTATAAGAATCCCTAGGGACTCTAATGTATTATTTTGTATTTAAAGACTAGTATGAATTAAATAAATATCTTCCTTATAAGCAGTTCTGTTAAATATAAAATCTCTTAATATTGACGATTAGTCGTAAATAACTGATTTGCCAAAACATTACTCGATATCAATATATTTTATTTGATTGATTATATTTTTATCCTAAAAATTTGTATAACTTTACGTTTTGCTAATAAATCGATCCATTTATTATAACATGAAAAATGGTACTACAAATATGTGTTAAATATAACATCTAAACGAAACATTTTTTCTAAAACAAACGCTTCATGTATATTTATTTCAAAGTCATGGTTACATTATGGTGGCACTTAAGCTGTACATTTACTGAGCAAAAGTCTCTGAACGATGTGGTTTATACTTTCACATATCAGAACAAACTAAAACAACGATTGTATATGACCAACGTAGGCGAGAATGCATAATATGCAACTTCGTGCCTCCACATAAACTTGAACTCATAAGAACCTCATTAACGGTCAAGGTTTGAGCGCAGTTTCCCATGTCTTTAATGGCAAATGAAGCGTCTAATAAAAATCTAAGTAGTATATGTACAAGTTGACCGATCTTATACATTTTTCTCGAAAATAACTCGATCTCGATAATTAATTGTAAACACTGTGTTATATTTTTAATGGATGCCACTCGAATGTATAACAAACAGTTTTAGTTACATCACATCGCCTTGTGGCGCTTTGGTATTTTTTCTCTCCGTTTTAATGAAGAACTTTAAGTTATAACTCTTTTTTCTATCTAATTTTTTTTACATCTTCAAATGATTTCGAGTAATTAACGTTTAAAAATAACTTTCTCGAAACTTTCGACTTCGATAAATTTATGAAAGAATTTTGCAGAATAAATAAAAGTTTGTGACAATTTAAAAAGAGTTTTACAGAGTCGCTCAAAACTTTAGATAACATCAATGACCTTTGTAAGGTGTCACATAAACTTGGTTAATTTTAAAAATAAATTTAGATTGATTTTGCAGAAAAAAGTTCGAATATACACGTTTCCAACTCCATCCGTTTTTTCCTATATCAACTCCGAGAATTTCAGGAAAATGAATTTCAACTGTTGTAGTTGTTAGCTAATGGGGTTTGTTCTGAAAAAAATCCGTCATAGCGCCACATGTCAGTATAAATATATCTCAGTTTTTTTTGTATTCTAGATTTCAGAGCAGCCATTGAATATATAACAACGATTATAGATTCTATCAAGAAAAATCTCATCTTGTACATACTTCTTCACAAGATATCTACATAAAAAAGGTGACTCGCAAATTGGCAATTTCAAATTTTGCTGGTTCAAAAATAAAT